CAAAGTCTTTAATGGTTAGACTCTAAAGTGCCCTCACAGACTCCTGTTTTAAGTTCTTCTTCTGTGCTTGGTGGTGCTGCTTTGGGAGGCTGTGGAAAATGTATTAGATATGACCTGGCTAAAAGGAGCAAGCCAAGAGGGGCAGCCCTTTAAGGACCATAGCCCAACCCCTGGTTCTGGCTTTACTCTGTGTTGACACCAGGATACGGACTCAGCCACTCTATTCCACTCAATGGACTGACCTGTTCTTCCATGACATGATATATGGCAATGTCCTGGAAACTTGTGCTAAAATAAATCTTTCTTTCCTTAAATCAGTTCTGAAAAGTCCCTAATACAAAATTCTAGAAGGCATTAGTCATTAATCCCCTACCCTCGTTTCCCAGATGAGAAACTGAAGTATAGAAGTATACAATAGATACGATCACTCAATCTTTGGGACTAAAACCTTCAGCTGGCTGGCTGCAAAACCAACATTATTGTCTACTGTCATGCAGCATAGCTCCTTGGAGCCTGCTCCTCATCTGCACTCTTTATGAACCGTGGCTGTTCTACATTAATGATCAGCCACATTGTAGTTTGAAAACTGTCCTGGAAGGGGGTAAAAAAGCTTGTCAAGTTGAAGCCAGGGCTGGGCATTGATGGCGCACGCCTTTAATCCCAGAACTCCGGAGGGAGAGGCAGGGGGATCTTTGTGAGGTTGAGGCCAGCCTGGGCTCCAGAGCTAGTGCCAGGATAGGCTCCAAAGCTACACAGAGAAACCCTGTCTCCAAAAACCAAAACCAAAAAAAAAAAAAAAAAAAAAAGTTGAAGCCAGAGAAACATTCTCCTTCCCAGTAGCTCTGCTGAGTGTGGTAAATAATTCCTCATGAGCGGGAAGGTCCCTGATTGTGTGTAGCAGTATATGTATCACGCATCCATTGTTTGTTTGGATTACTTATTTTCCTAGGTAGATATGCATACACGGACACACATTGTTTTTAAATTCAAAGTCACCATCTGGCTTTTAACTTGCTCAGTCTGAACCACAAAAACAAAAAAAAGAAAAGAAAAGAAAATGATTTTCAGTGAATTCTGACAAGGACCATCTCTGGGTTTCACCACTAGCATTTTAATTTTTACTTTGCATTTCACGTTCTTAGTCTGGATTTTCTGGTGTTCCTTTCTCTTTTTAATTCTCCTTTCTTTCTTTTTTTTATTAAGTGAGTAAGCAGGATAATTATCCTTTCTTATTTTCACCTGTGTCTATAGATATGTGGTAGCTTGAATGAGAAGTTTCCATATAGGTTCATGTATTTGAACTTTTTGGTCCCCAGTTGGTGGTGCTGTTTGGGGAGGTATAGGAGGTGTAGCCTTGTTGGAGGATGTGTATCATTGGGGAAGAGCTTTGAAAGTTTAAAGCCACTTCTAATTCACTCTATCTGATTGATGTTTACAGCTCAGGACATGAGCGCTCAACATGGTACTCCAGCTGCCATGCCATGGTGGACTCTACCCCTCTGGACCTGTAAGCGTAAATAATCTCTTCTGTGAATTTCACAGTGACAGAAAAATGACTAATACAATATGGCAAGTAATTTTACCCTGGGACTATTCCCTCATCTGCACATTTGTGCTACTAGATCCCATCTCTTATCTTGGTATCACTTTTAAACAAATCTTATCCAGAAACTCTCAGCACCTCACTTGTAAAATGACGTATTGGGATGTCCTCCACGTCTATTCTCTAACAGATGGTATATCTAAAGGAATGATAGGAGCTCTCTACTCCTCATTGAAGGCCTGTGAATCAATTGTGGCCAGTGAGATGCTAGAGCAAATATGCTGGGGCCTGGGGGGTGTATTTTTTCTAATAAAGGTACACTAGGAATATTATCTGTAAGGACATTGTCAGGTTAGGATATCATACTAAGAACTGCTTTAGGTATCTTGCTTCTTCCACTTGTTCATTAACAGGAAATGATACTAATGACAAAAAAAATGGAAATCGATTCTTGAAGTTTTCCTTCAGCTGTAATAATGTTGGTCTGCTTGGGTATTTATAATAGTTACTATATTGACTGTTAGCTTTGAGGTGATGTAGAATCACCATGGAAACAAGTCTCCCCACCTGTCTATGAGGGATTATCCAGTATATGTTAATTGGGGTGTGAAGGCCCACACTAAATGTGGGTGGTATTATTCCATGTATGGGTTCCTTACTGGATAAAAAAGGAGAAAGTGAGATGAACAGAAGCAGGCATCACTTTCTGCCTCCTGCTCCTGCTTCCACACTGTCCCTGCCTCGGTAGACGGTATGCCTTGAAACTGTAAGCCAAAATAAAATCTCTTGTTTTTAAAGTTGCTTCTGTCAGTTTGTTTTTTGTTTTGTTTTGTCTTGTTGTTGTTGCTAAAGCAATGAGACAAGTAACCTATTCAGGCAACATAACAAAATACAACTGAGTGTCTTAAACCACAGGGATTTGTTTCCCCACAATTCCAGAGGCTGGAAGTTGAAGAGCAGGAAGCCAGCAGTGTTATTTCTGCTGAGGCCACTCTTCCTCTTCCTGATTTAAAGATTATATGTCCTTGCTCTGTCCTACAGCTGTACTTACTTCTTCTGTATTGGGAGGAAGGGAGGGAGGAAGGGGGGAGGGAGAAAGGGAAGGAAGGAAGGAGGGAAGGAGGGAGGGAGGGAGGGAGGGAGGGAGGCTGACTTCTGGTATCTTCCTCCTCTGCAAAGGAACTATTGGCTTGACACCACTATGATTTGATTTAACCTTGGTGACACTTTAAAGACGATGCTCCCATCATCATACCATCCATTTGGGACTTACAACCTCAGTTCAGTCCCTCACTCACAATGAGAAAACAAGTTCTCTATAAAGTGATTTAGGATAGCAGGCTGCCTTTTCTTCTACCACAATGCCAAACAAAATAAGACCATGAAATTTCACTTGTTTAACCACTCCTGGTTTTTCCTCTCAAGAACTCCCCCAAATTTTCTAGGATATTTTCTCAAGGATTGCTCAGAAATGATTATCCCAATAAATGTTAACTAAATCCAGATATCCAATAATTACCAGAGGCTAAGCTAATCAGCTGGAAGCACCCACTGTCAGCAAGTCCATGACATTTGGAATTTGAATTTGTTGGTGGCTCCCATGCCAATATCAAATACCAGGCCAAAAACCCAAATGAGCCTGTACTCACTGTGGCCTCTTCTGCCCATGCTTTGTCCTTTAATAACTGTGTTGTCATTGAAGATAGGATGCTCTGTAAGCAGGCTGTGTGGATTTGTATACTTAGGAGGGGAGAACAACTGAGCTCAAGCAGCTACCTGCTCCCTTTTCTGTGAAGCGGTTTGTAAAAGGCTTTTTTATTTTTCTCCTATGCCTGGAAAGTACATGAATGACAAACGATAAGTAATTGTCCCTTTAATTTTCCTCTCTACTTGATAGTTGTTCCAGGAGTGTTAAAGTGAAAAGAATGTCAATTTTCCTTCAAATGGTAAAGCAGACTTTATCCTGACTCTTGAAACAGTTACAGGAACTATTGTACTGGACTTTACAGTATGGGAGAGAGATGGCACTCACCTGGAAATAAAATTGAGTGGAACATCATTAATATGTGGCTCAGGGTGAGTGGGATTCTAGCTAAACACGTGTATGGGATTCTTGCTGAGGACAGACTGGCCTGGTTATATATTACCTCACAGATGGTGGGAAATGAGAAAATGTGGTCAGCTTCAGCCACACATAGAGTTTTAAAGTAGACTCTAATCCTAGTAGACACCTTAAATGCAACCTCTTGAGGGAGGCTGTGCCATCGCACTCAGCCGGGCTGTTCCCAACATTCTCACTTTAGAGACAATGTGAGATGCTTTTAGCTGCCCAATTTTGAGCAGAGGAGATCATTCCTCAGACAAAATTTTTAGGGGGAAAAAAAGGTTTCCTCCCAATAATACTGTAAGAAAATAATCAATAATGGATGAGTACTGGAGGAATGGCTCAGTGGAAAGGGGATCTCCCATATAAACTGGTTAGACAGACTAGATCAGTCCACCAGCTCTGGATTCCATAAATAAAGTGGGAAGCCCTCAAATGAGACACCCTATGTGTGTCTTCCACATCAATGTGTGTTTGTGCACCTGCCACACACCCACACCCACACCCACACCCACACATACACACACACACACACACACACACACACACACACACACCAGAACCACAGAATATTAAATATTAGTATGAATATTAGTACCATGGACTAGACTGGGTAGAATATTTTCAGCAGCATTATCCAGAAGAATCTTATGCCTATGGTACACTGCATGGTGCTATTGAATATTTGACATGTGGTGCATGTGAAATGAGGGACTGAATTTAATATATTTCATTTTATTGGAATTTAAATGGCCACATGCAGTAATGACTACTATTTTGGACAGTGCTGGTCTAGGGACTTCCTAGAGCAACAAATAATTATTCCAAAAACAAATATCTAAAAAAAAAAGTGAACACAGTACAAAACAAATCATAGTTATATTTCCTCCTCTAAATGTCACTTTTCTAAAGGAAGCCCTGAAGGTCCAGAAATGATGAGTTGACTTAAGTTCCACAATTATTTCCTTCCTTGTGCAAAGCAGAACAATGCATTTTGCAAAACTGGATTATTCTGAGACCCCTATAGATTTCTTTTTTATGTATTTGCACAATTTACTAGACATGAAACTATGGATTCTATTGACTCTCACACAAGGGGCTAATTTGTACAATGGACTGAAGAGACTTGAAATGAACCACTGTGCCCATAGCTTCCTTAACCACATAGAACACACATAGGACAATGCAACTCATCCACCTGGTGAATGAAACACTATCTTACTGTTTCTTGGCACCATTGCATTCCATGATGTCATGTTTGATTGAGTGTACTCCTGATCAATAGTACAGAATGAATGAATGAATGAATGAATGAATGAATGCCCTAAGTTACTTCTGTTTATAGTCAATCCTGCCTAGAGATAAACTTCTAAGCATACATGATTGCATGTTATGACTTACTTGTAGGGTACCATGTATTTCATGCTGCTAGAAAATTAGGAAGGTTAATATGGATTTCCTAATTCTTTCTAAATGATATATGTTGGTTGTGATCTGCAACACCTAAACATTAACTCTATCCCTGAGTCATTTTGTCATGTCAGATCATGTTTTTATACTTAAATGTGTAGTCACCTTATTATAAAATAACTGCAGCTGCTGAAAACATTGACCCCATCCATGGAAACAACTGCAACAAAAATCTGACTTGACTTGGGTCTTCTATGTAATTTTTTTTAATTGGTTTTTCGAAACAGGGTTTCTCTGTGGCTTTGGAGGCTGTTCTGGAACTAGCTCTTGTAGACCAGGCTGGTCTCGAACTCACAGAGACCCACCTGCCTCTGCCTCCCGAGTACTGGGATTAAAGGCGTGCGCCACCAAGGCCTGGCTTCTAAGTAATTGTTAATGCTTGTATAAAGTCCTCTGGAAAGACTCTTGGAGGAGAAAGGCATGAGAAGCCAGTAGCAGAAGCTGAGTTATATAGCCACAATCTAAGGAATGCCTGGAGCCATGACAAGGTGCAAAGATGATGACAAGCCAGAAAGCTTCCTGCGAGCCTTCCTAGGAAGTGCAGCCCTGCCAATGTCTCTTGATTTGGGGTTTCTGGTCTACAGAGCTGTGAGAGAAAGTATTTTGTTATGTTAAGATACCTCTGTAGGAGTTCCAGAGAGGAAGCCCATGACAGACCAAAGTCCAACTTCGTAAACCAATGAGTTTTATTGGGATTACTTACAAAAATACACATGAGGGGTTACTTACAGGAACACAAATGACTCAAGGACAGCTGTATCACCAATGAGTACCACAACATGGGTGACAGCCACAAGAACTGGAGCACACTGCAGAGCCTGAAGGCAGCCCAAATGTTGGAGAGTGTCCTTTCAAAGTGACTGGTCCTAAATCTCTTCCAGACACCTAGGCTGGTCTCTGCTTCTACCAGTCAGCTAAGCAGGTCTGGTATCAGATTCTTCTTCACAGTTTGACTTGTGTGGGCATGACTCTCAGTAGTTTTGTTGTTTGGGAGGGTATCTGGGGGCTGGTGAGTCTTGTCAGTTTGGGGGACTTTGTGTAGCTATTTTGATTTGTTTATCTTCCTGCTTAAGAAGCTCCCAGGAAGAAAGGAACGTTTTAATTCTGAAGGGAACGGTTACACAGCACTGGCACAGTGAACATGAATGGGGTAACTGACTTCATTAGTCATTGGAGAAGTAGAATTGATTTTAAAATAATAATGAAGGTTAAAATATCAATAACCTTTTAAAATTTATTTATTTTTATTTTATTTGCATTGTTGTTTTTGCCTGTATGTATGTCTGTGTCAGGGTGTCAGATCTTAGAATTATAAAGAGTTGTTAGCTGCCATGGGGGTGCTGGAACTTGAACTCGAGTCCTCTGGAAGAGCAGTCAGTGCTCTTCACCACTGAGCCCTCAATACCCTTTCTTATTAATAGCATCAGCAAACTGACCACAATCACCTTCATCAACCAGGTGTGGTGTCACACATTTGTAATCCCAGTACTTTGCCAAGTAGGAGCAGGAGGATTGTGGTTTGAGGCAAATCTGGGCAACACAGTAATACCCTGCATCAAAAATGATGCTAGATGCCACCACAGTGGTATAGGCCTTTGATCTCAACATTTGGGAAGCAGAGGCAGATGTATCTCTGTAAGTTAGGAGTCATCTTGGTCTACATAGTGAGTTTCAAGCCAACCAGGACTACATAGAGAGACCTTGTCACAAAAAGAAAGAAAATGTCAGCTTGTAACAAAGGTGGCAAAGACATGGAAAAGAAGAATTTTTCTATAATACTGGTGGAATTGTACATTAATAAAACTACTATAGAAACTATTTAATATTACTTTCTAAAAATAAATCCATATAGCCAGTAAGAATTCTGCAAGATATATGCCAGGACACATCTACAAGAAAGCACACAAATGTTCAGCAACAGGAAATTATGCAAATCACAAAGTCCAACTGTAAACTGTCCAGTGTGAAGTGATCATGGTACCTATAAGAGTATGAGGGATTCCTAGAAAAGTAATATGGGGTAAGAAATAGAGACTGTAGAGAACTTTCTCAAAACTAGAAAGCTAAACACTATGTAGTTTAGGTGAGGATACATAAGAAGTAGAGTAATCATTTTTAAAAAGGATGGTGATAACTCGAAAGGACACTGGTGCATGAAATGAAGACTCATCTCAGTGCATCAGTTTAATGTTCTTTTGACAGGAATTTGAAGAAACAGAATGT